AGGAGGGAGGAGGGAGAGGGAGAGAGAGAGAGAGAGAGAGAGAGAGAGAGAGAGAGAGAGAGAGAATGGAATGCTCCCTAAGCGTAAGATACCACTAGGGAAGGTTGTGAGTGGTAATACTGACTTTAAAAGCCAGGCAAAATGGTGCATGCCTGTAATCACCCGGAAGACTGAGGCAGAAGGGTTGGCATGAATTTACAACCAGACTAGGCTTTATTACAAGTAACCACCAGCCAGGGTTTTATCCTCCACTCCAAATTACTCTTTAATTACTAGGGCAGGGAATGAGTCCTGGGTTTCTCTGTTCAAGCACCAGTTTTACATTCCCTGGAACATGCTCATGGAAGGGCACTCACCTTTGCTCAGGAGTCCTCATTCTGCCTCAGTTTCTCCATCTCACAATCCTTGAGGAATTACCCATGAAGGAAGCTGAGCCAAGCCTGCCCCTCCACTCTGTTTCCCCAGAACAGGGACCTGCAAGCCAGGGTGATGCAGCTGGAGTCTTGTGGCTGCTGCTCAACTGCCCCCCAGTGTTGGGGGCTGGGACGCGCCTGTCCTGAAGGGGCTCGCTGGGAACCTGACGTCTGCACGGCCTGTGTGTGCCGTGATGGGGCCGCACACTGTGGCCCTCAGCCCAACCTGCCGCACTGCCTCGGTCAGTATCACCCCACCCACCCACTGCAGCTGTTTGGGGGCCTGGAAAACACACTAGGGTCCCAAATGACATTACTGTCTCCGCCTCAGGCTGCAGCCACAATGGCCAGTCTTATGGTCATGGGGAGACCTTCTCCCCAGATGCCTGCACCACCTGCCGCTGTCTGGTGAGTGCTTGAGAGCCACTTGGCTATCCCACAACTGTCTGTCTGCTTCTCTCTAGCTACTTGTCACTGACATGCTGTGCCCGTTGTGTTATGGAGTCTCTCTGCCCTTCCTGGCCAGACTTTCATCCATGACCTTGGGATTCCAAATGGTTCGACTTTGCGGAGCTCAATCTCCTCATGCTTGTTGGGCCCCCAAAGCTTCCTGGTGGAATTGCACTAGAAAGAGGAATGCTTAAGAGTCCTCTGTATTCAGGAACAGAGGTGAGAGAGACATGTGGCAGGAGTCAGTCTAGGCAGAGCCAGGATACTGCCAGCCATGCAGTTTGGATTTCCTTCTGTGGCTCTGGGATGCCGCTGAAGTCCACAGAGCCAAAGAAGAGTGTTAGGAATACCCCCTAGTATGGGATGGATGCAGAGACCAGCTGGAAGGCTGCTTCAGCTACTGTCTAGACACAGGGTCGGAGAGGGCAGGGGCCGCAGGCAGGGTCTGTTTCTACAGAGCAGGCAGGGGCTGGTGACCAGTTAGATCCCATGGAATAACAGAGGTCAGACAGGAAGCTAGGAGGACAGTGATGTCAGCGACTTGAAGAGAGCTGTGGCTCTATGGGAATCGTTTGTTTGTTTGTTTGTTTGTTCGGAGACAGGGTCTCACTGTGTAGCCCTGGCTGGCCTGGAACGTGCTATGTAGAGCAGGCTGACCTCAAAGTCGCAGGGATCCTCCTGCCTCTGCCTCCCAAGTTCATTGTTTCTTCTTTAGCTAGTCTTTGCAAATCTGAATTTCAAATAACACATGATTTAAACACACACACGCATGTATACATATATATGTGTGTGTATATATATATATGTATATGTATATAAAGTATACTCCATACAATATTTAGGACATTCTCTTTGTTCTTGTTCTTTTTTGTTTGTTTGTGTTTTAGACTGTTTCATGTTGCTGAGGCTGGCCTTGAAGTCCTGATCCTCCTGTCTCCACCTCCCAAATGCTGGGATTCTAAGTGTGTGCCACTGTGTTTGGCTTCTTATTTGTTTCTTGAGATAGGCTCTCACACTGTAGTCGGAAACTTACTGGGTAGCCCAGGCTGGACTCAACTCACAGCAGTCTTCTGTCTTGGCCTACAGCGCAGGAATTATAAGTATGAGCCACCACATTGGGCTTGGATGTGTGTGCGTGTGTGCGTGCGTGTGTGAGTGCGTGTGTGCATGCGTGCGTGCGTGCGTGTGTGTGTGTGTGTGTGTGTGTGTGTGTATGTGTGCACATGCACACACTCAAGCACAACTGGCCATTAAACCAAGAGCATCGGCGTGCTAGGCAAGCACTCTACCACTAATCTGTATTCACAGACCTCCTTTTTTGTTGTCTTTGCTCGCTTGCTGCTTTTGAGTCACAGTCTTGCTGACTTGCTCAGGCTGACCTTGGACTCATTCTATAGCCCAGGCGAGTGTTGAACTGTTGATCCTCCTGCCTCAGCCTCCAGAACACCTGGAATGAGAGAGAGACCTGCATCACCAGGCCAGGCTGGGACATACTAAAAAACACAGAGTGTCACCTATCTGGAATTCCGTTGTTTGAGCGCCCTGTACTTGGTCTGGTATCCTACCAGGAGGGGCATCCCAGTTGGTGGTCAGTTAGGAGGGACAAGGACTCCAGCCAGCCCTTGGATAGAGACCAAGACTGGAGTCCTGGGAGTGGATGGATTTTAAGGGAGCTCGCGGTGTAGCTCATTGGCAGAGTGCTTGATGAACACCCAGGGGGCACTGGTTTAGAGCCCTGGCATCCTTCTCATGTCCCAAACTGTGTAGTTCATAGACATGGACACAGAGAGGGTGCCTCAGGGCCACCGCTGCTCTGTATGATAATAGCCTTTGACGATGGTGTCCCGTGCGGTGCAGAGATGGAGTGGGGGGGGGGCAGGCTCACCTTTCAAGACACTTTCCTCCCACCTATTATAAATAGAGGCAGGGCACTGTGTCAGAGTCAGACCCTTGGTTGTCTCTTGCTGGAAAGGTGAAGGAACTATAAAATTAACCCATCCAGCTGTTTGATGTAGTCCCAGGCATCTGGGTCTCTTACTTGGGGATCCAGGCCTGGTTTTGAAGGCTGCTCTGGGGGCCACAGGGCTGTTGAAATGTGGTATCCAGAGACCTGTGTCATCTTCACTTGCCAGGTAAGAGGACTAAGGTATAGCCCCCCATCACTGTTCAAACCCCCACTGCTCTGCATTACCCGAGGCCTGGCCGTGCCTCTGGGCATCCTGGTCTGGAGCCTGCTAGGCCTTTGAGGTCTGCAGAGTACCCCAGCTTGGACAGTGGAGAGGGCTCAGGGGAGGACTTGGTGTCTGCTCTGCAGGCAGGAACTGTGCAGTGCCACGGGCCCTCATGCTCTGAGCTCAACTGCCTGGAGACCCTCACCCCACCTGGGGAATGCTGCCCTGTCTGCCGGCCAGGTGACAGCCTGATCTTACCCATGGATCCCCTCAGCCTCAGTGGGTCCACACCTACTTGGGGCCATGCCTTCCCTTGGGTATTGTCCCCCACCCTGCTCTCTGGTGACCCTTGCCATCCTGGCAACCTTCCAGGCTGTGAGTATGAAGGACAGCTTCATGAGGAAGGGGCCAGCTTCCTGTCCAGCTCCAATCCATGCCTCCAGTGCTCTTGCCTGGTGAGTCGCTGCAGCCTCTGCCCAGGCCCGCTTCCTTGGGCCATCTCTGCCCCACCCCGCCACGTCCGTCACTGTTAGCCCTGTACATGCCTTCTGAGCCTGGTGCCACTGACACTCTCCTCCGTCCCCGCTGGACACCTGCCCACCCTGAGCCTGCTGGAAGTCACACCCCGGGCTGTCACACTGTCCATTGTAGAGGAGCCTGGTTCGATGCGTACCGGTGAAGTGCCTGCCAAGCCCCTGCCCTGAGCCAGTCCTGAGGCCTGGACACTGCTGCCCAGCCTGCCGAGGTGAGAACCCGCGACACTTTATTCGTTGATTTGTTTGCTGTGTATGGGTGTTTCGTCTGCACGGCCATCTGTGCACCGTGTGTCTGCAGTGCCCGTGGGGGGTGCTGGGGATCGAACTCAGGTCCTCCCAAACACTGGACTGTCTTTCCAGTCCCCGTGACTCTCTCTTTGTAGAGTCCCCAGCAGACGGTCACACTGTTTCTCCAGAGCCCTCCCTTCTAGACCGATGTTTGATCAGTGGGCAGGCAATGCCAGGCCAAACACTCTGGAGCTACAGTACCCGAGTCCAGATGTTTCCGTTGTCTCTTAGTCATTGTTTCTCTGTGTGTTTCCCATTTGTAAGGTGCACGTGATGTACCTTCTAGTATTGTCTAATAAATGACTATTAGCTACCTGCTTTGGGCACCCAGACGCAGAATCCTCCCTCGGGGATTACCACTAGAGGGGACCCTGAGTCACAGCCACAGGATAAACTAGTGTGACAGAGGCAGGAGCAGAAGCCCCTAGGGACCAGGTACACTTAAGGAGACCAAGTCCATCTGGGCCCAGAAGGGAAGGCATTCCTGGGGGATCCTTGCTGGAGGGTGTGCTGTGCTGTCTAGGAAAGGCATGGAAGAGCAGGCTGAGAAGCAATGGGGGGACCCTACCCCCAGCCCCCACCCCACCTGGGGTATTGAGAGTCTCTGAGAGTCTAGACCAGTGGTTCTCAACATGTGGGTCGCGACCCAATTGGTGGTCCTCTATCTCCAAAAATATTTACGTTGTGATTCATAACAGTAGCAAAGTTACAGTTATGGAGTAGAAATGAAAATAATTTTGTAGTTGGGGGTCACCACAACACGAGGACTGTATTAAAGGGCCCGCAGCGTTAGGAAGGTTGAGAACCGCCGGTCTAAACAGAGGTGAGCACATGAGAGGAGAGTGGAGAGCAAGGCAAGATGGGGCCCCGGATGATTCCCATTCCCTGTTCTCTGTCCCCAGCCCCGGGCTGCACAGAGGGTAGCTCTCACAGGGACCATGGCCAGGAGTGGACCGCTGCTGGAGACCCCTGCCGCATCTGCCGATGCCTGGTGAGCCTGGGGCTGCCCTCGACTGTTCCTCACCCTGCCTGCCATCGGGCCTGCTGATTTCATTCCGTGGGCCACATCCGTGGGCACCGAGAAGAGACAGAGACAGAGACGGTTGTATTGTGGGCCCCGTGAGCACGTGACCTGGTGGGCTTGCCTGTTCGCCGCTCTATTCAGCAGGCTGGTCATTTTAGCTCAAGAAGTTCATGGGTGGGTGGAGAGCCAGCAGGGCAGGGCACGCTGGGTGGTCAGAGCTCCAGAGAGGGAGGAATACAGTCGCACTTGCAGAGGCCAATCCTGTGACACCAGAGCCCTTAAGATGTGGCTGGCCAGAACTGCTGTGGGCTGGATGTGATGGCAAAAGGCTTTAAACTCAGCATTTAGGAGGCAGAGACAGGAAATTCGTGAATCTGAGGCTAGCCTGGGCTACATAGTAAGACCCTGTCTGGAAGTAGTTACATCTGCCTGTGATCCCCGTTCTTAGGAGGCCGAAGCAGGAAGATCATGACTATGTGAACAGCGTAGATTATGCAGTGAGATCTTGTTACAGCTGTCCTCCCTCAAAACCAAAACCAACCAACACACACACACACACACACACACACACACACACACACACACACACACACACGCAAAAAAAAAAAAAAAAAAAAAAAAAAAAAAAAAAAACCAAAAACAAAAAAACCGAAGAGAGGCACAGTAGGATGAAAAAGGAATGCAGAATATCTCATTGGTACTCTGTGTTGATTACATGTTGAAATAGTATTTTACATGTGATAGATAAATGGATTATAATATAAAATTTTAATTTCTTCGTTTCCATTTACATTTTAAAAGTTGGCCTTGGAAAAATAATTTACACAGCTTAATGTGGCTTGTGTTATCTTGTTCTTCCGAAGCTTGGATCTAGAATTTCATGGGTGGGGGTGCTGTCCAACTAGGCCTTGAAGGGGAAGTGGGGAAAGATGTCCTAGGAATAGGCAGAGGGCAAAGTTGCAACAGGTTTTAAGTACCAGCTTCCTGAGGTAGATGCCCACCTACACTTTTCATTTCAACCCACAAGCCCATGAGCAGCGGACTACTATTGTCTGTTTTGGTTTTTTTTCCAGATAGGTAGACTGAGTCACAGATAGTTAAGTAACATGCTAGGTTGTCCGTCTGTGCCAGCTTCCTAAGGCTTCTGTAATTGAGGATTACATACTAAGTGACTTAAAACACAAATATTATGCACAAATATACTCCATGTTTCTGGAGGCCAGAGATCAAAGACCAAGGTGTGGCAGATTTGGTTTGCATAGACAGCTGTGAAGGAGAATTTTTGTGCCTTTCCTGGCTTCTCATCATTGCTGCCATTCTTTGGCTTCTATAGCATCCAAGTATTTTTTTAAAGATTTTATTTTTCATTTATTAAAAAAATTTTTTTTGAGACAGTCTCACTATATAGACCAGACTGGCCTTGAACTCAGAGATCTGCCTGCTTCTGCCTCTCAAGAACTGGCATTAAAGGCGTGCACCACCACAGCTGGCCTCATTTTTCTTTTTAATGATGTGGATACATGTGTGTCTGAGTGTGGGTTTGTGCATGTGAGTGCAGTCCCCATGATGACCATTGACAACAGGTCCTTTGGCGCTGGAGTCCCAGGTGGCTGGGGCCACCACTTCCCCTACGATAGCAGGAAACACTCTTAACTGCTGAGCCGTCCCTCAGCCAGCCGCAACATCCAAATCTGGTTTTATCTTGTGGCTCTTTATCTCCCTATGTGAATCTGAGTTCCCCTTTATATAGGGATGCTAAGTCATAGTGGGTTAGGGGAACGACCTACTCCAGTAATACCTCATTAACTAACTACATCTTCACCAACTCTGTTTCCAAAAGAGAAAATAATCTGAGGCTCCAGGGGCAACCACTTCAACGTATGAACCTTGGGGGTGGGGGTGCATTTCATCCCATAGGAACATCCAATGAGTGGATGGCTGGGATTCTAATGCCATTTCTGTTTCTTGGCTGAACCCTGGGGGTGGGTCTTTCCTTTGCCTTCCCTTGCTAGGAGGGCCACATCCAATGCCGCCAGCGGGAATGTGCCAGCCTGTGTCCATACCCTGCCAGGCCCCTTCCGGGCACCTGCTGCCCAGTGTGTGATGGTGAGTCAGGAGTCGGGAGTGGAACGGGAACCCTAGAGAGGTCGGGAGTGCTGATGGCTGCCCAACATGAGTTATCTGGACTGGGGTGGTGGTGTCCCCTGAAGAACATCTGAGGGCGCCTGTTTTCCCAATAGGCTGTTTCCTAAATGGGCGGGAGCACATCAGTGGGGAGCCTGTGGACTCCCAGGACCGCTGTTCCAGCTGCCGCTGTGCTGTGAGTATGGCGGCCTGTCAGGGAGGGCCTGGCTTCAGGGTCTGTTCCCTGCTGACTGGGCCCTGTTGGCAGAATGGGAGTGTCCAGTGTGAGCCTCTGCCCTGCCCACCTGCACCCTGCAGATACCCGGGCAGGATTCCCGGGCAATGCTGCCCTGTCTGTGACGGTGAGTGGGGGCAGGGTCACCATTCACCACCTAGGGACAGGCTCTGGATGATGGTGAGCTTTGCTTTCCTGCACCCACGCCCCTACCCCACAGCTGAGTCCTCACCTCACTTCTCGTGGCACACGTCTCCGTGGTGTGTGTGGTGGGTGCAGGCAAGGGCCTCCTAGAGGACATGCCTAGGTGATCTTCCTCAAGGTGGGGGTAATATGCCTTGGGGTGGCATGATGCTTCCTGCTCAGCAACTAGTTCTGTCCCCCAGAGCCCTGTCCTCCTGTCCAGGCTGTCAGTACCAGGGACATGAATATCAGAGCCAGGAAACCTTCACCCTCCAAGAGAATGGCCGCTGCCTTCGGTGTGCCTGCCAGGTGAGTGAGTGAGTGGGCCCACCTTCCGCCCAGGTCTGTGGCACCCCTTAAGGGCCTCTCACTTGGCCCTCTTCCTAGGCCGGTGAAGTATCCTGTGAAGAACAGGACTGCCCGGTCACCCCCTGTGCACGGTCTGCTTCTGGACCCCAGCTCTGCTCAGGTGTGTATGGGGTGGGGTTCAGGGGAGAACTGTACCCCAATAACGAGGGCCTACCAAGTATCTCAGGGTTTGCTCAGAGGCTATGGTGGCGTGCAAACCAGGGCCCCCATGGGCTGGGAAGGACAAGGACGGAGGAAGCTATTTAGGTTGCCATGGTGACAGACCCTCTTGCTGTAGCCTGCGTGCTCCATGGTGAGGAGTTTGCCGAGGGGATCCAGTGGGAGCCGGATGGGCAGCCTTGCAGCACCTGTTCCTGCCAAGACGGAGTGCCTGTGTGCAGGGCTGTGCTTTGTTCTCCCGTACCCTGCCAGCACCCTACCCAGCCACCTGGTGAGTGCCCACCAGATCTCACCCTTCTTCGCTGGCTTTGACCAGCCCACCTTGACCAGCCCGTCCCACCTAGGTACCTGCTGCCCTAGCTGTGAGAGCTGCACCTACCTTGGCCTAGTGTATGCCAATGGGCAGAACTTCACAGATGTGGACGACCCTTGTCATACCTGCCACTGTGAGGTACGTCCCGGGCTGAAAGCTGCCCGCGGAGCCCCTCCTGGGCCCTCTGCCACTGTCCCTCCCCTGCTCCCAGGATGGGACTGTGAGGTGTTCCTTGGTCCACTGTCCTTCCACAACCTGCGCCAAGCCCCAGAATGGACCAGGCCAGTGCTGCCCCAAGTGCCCAGGTATGTGTGCATTGTGTCTGACTGGACCGAGGACAAGGACTCCGTTGTCACACAGCCAGGTGGGACCAACAGCTGTCTTCCAAAGCTGTGGCTTTCAGAACTGTTTTTGGTCCTACACAACTAAGAACCCTACGGAACTCAAGAGGGCATGGGTGGGGGGAAAATGAAGACTTTTGTGTTACCAGACCACCTTTCTCTGGGACCCTACATTCCTCTCAGATAACACAGGTTCCTGCAATTCGGGGGCTTGGGGCATGGTCCCTGCATGCATGGATCTGTGTCCTAGGCACACACATGTGTAAGCTCTCCTTAGCATCCTCAGAGACACACGTCCATCTCCATCTGCTAGTAAAGGAACTCAGAATTTTTCACACCAGTGAGAGAGAGAGAGATGCATTGCTACCCCAGCCCCCTTCCTCCTCTCCCTGATTGGAGACAGCCTCCACACTGGCTCTTCTCAGTTACTGTGGTGGCTCTGGATTCTGGGAGCATTGGAGAGGCTGCAGGCGGCACCTAGCACCGTCAGCCTCTGCCAGAACTGCTGTCTCCACTGCCTGCTGCCCAGACTGCGTCTTGGAGACACAGGTGTTTGTGGATGGAGAGCGCTTCCCTCACCCAAGAGACCCCTGCCAGGAGTGCCATTGTCAGGAAGGCCAGGCTCGCTGCCAGCCCCGTGCCTGCCCCAGCGCCCCTTGTGGTCACCCTCTGCCCAGCACCTGCTGCAGGACAGACTGCCAAGGTGAGGTGGCCCAGCTGCGGGAGGGGTGCACCTGGCATGGAGAACTCCCCGACAGGTCCTTACCCCTGGGGACAGCGGCCCATAGCTGCCCCCTCTTCAGGCTGTGCCTTTGGTGGGAAAGAGTACCCCAACGGAGCGGACTTCCCTCACCCCACTGACCCCTGCCGCTTGTGTCGCTGCCTGGTGAGTGTGTGAACCGGAGGAAAGGGGGTGTGTAAGGGGTGGGGACCACTTCGCACTAACCTGACTTGGCTCCGTCTGTCTGTCCATCCTCAGAGCGGCAACGTACAGTGCCTGGCACGTCGCTGTCCGCCGCTGTCCTGTCCCGAGCCAGTCCTGCCCCCGGGAGAGTGCTGCCCGCAGTGCCCAGGTAGGCACCGCTCCCTCGGGCGCCCCTCCCCGCGGCTCCTCCTGCCCCTCGTGCCCGTGCCCGTGACCGTGACGCACTCTCTTCGCAGATGTTCCTGCTGGCTGCCCACGGTCAGGGGATGCGGTCCCCGCCCGCCACCAGGAGCACTTTTTCCCATCGGGAGACCCCTGCAGCCGCTGCCTCTGCCTGGACGGCTCGGTGTCCTGCCAGCGACTGCCCTGCCCGCCCGCGCCCTGCGCCCACCCGCGCCAGGGCCCCTGCTGCCCCTCCTGCGATGGTACCTCCTCTGTGGCACCCTTTGAGATCCGGGTGGCACCCCTTACCCCGCTTTGCCATCTGCTACCCCTCTCCC